GTCTCGTCTCAGGTAAGTCTTTAAATCTCTCACCTGAAGCTTGTCTACGACTAGAAATGCCTGGCGACCGGTCGGGGTTTGGCACAGGGTTTGCAACTTCTACATAACAAGCGCGGCCCGCCGGCGCCGGCTTTTGAGTTTGATTCGGGTTGTCTTGCCACCTTTTCGCCACAGCAGCTATAATGAGATCCTGGGTATTGAGGGGCTGCCTTGCGGGCTATTTTTGCACCAACACAAGCCTCCAGTCCGGATCTGTGTCGCTGTGGGTGTCCCGCGCGGCTCGGCGCGGGTAAATCCGTCAGCCGGCCGCCAGTCGTCTCGGTCAGGAATCAAGCTGGAGGTGTGACGGGCGGTGAGGAGGGCGGGGGGGGGGGGGGAGCTTCCACCTCGGTGAGGTGTGTCCCGGCTCTTGACCAGGGTGTCTGGTTAGCCCCCGTGCGCCGAGGCGCCAGCCCTGCGAACTCGTACCCGGTGGCTCGCGCAGCACCTCTCGGCACATTGGCCGCGTATGGCGCGCTGGTATCGCTGGCGGTGACTCCCCATTGGGACGACTCCTCCCCCTGTTGGGCTCCGTGGTGGGCGGGCAGTCGGTGCGCGCAGAGCAAATCCATGGCAAGCCAAAGCACAAACATCAGCCCAAATCTCGAATGTATTGACGTGACCGAGCCAGAGCGGCAGTTCTTGATTGTGCGTTGAGTCAAACTTGACGAGGAATGAAAACCTACACCATTGAAAATAAAACCGTTTCAACGTGTACAGAACTTTCCCAAATTTCTTACCCTAAAACCAGTATGCCGGCATTGTTCCAGCGGCTTCTTGGAAATATGATCTCGGGGAATCATGAATCATGAATCAGTCATGAATCGCGAGATCATTATCTCACGATCCGGTCTCACATATCCGTGGCTGAGCTCGGTCCTGGCGTTGATCCGGAGCTTGTGTACACAGATTCCCCGGTTCCGACGCACTCACTCGTTGACCGGATTGCACCGGTATTTGAAATCAGCAAATGCTTGTACATGAGAATGAGCATTTTCTGGAGGCACTTGCTAAAAGCAGCGAAAATGCAAGCCTTCATTTTCCCGACCTCCCGGGAATGAGGATCTTCTCTCGCTGACCTTCCCTTGGGCCCCGGCCTCGTTAACTCGGAGCCAGCGTCGAATTAGATGCGTACGGTATATCTTATGCCACGCATGCAGTGCCAGGCAGCTGGCTGAGCTTCCCGGCGGGGGCAGCACATAAGGTGACTGCTCCAGCTCAAGGCTGTTAAAGAAATAAAATAATGCATCGTCAGACTAGATTTTTGTTTCGTCTCATGGGGAACTCCAGTTCAACTTTATATTGTGGTTATTGATGTGCTGTGAGGTCCCGGAGCGCACAGCGTTGCTATTTACGCGACTCGTGAGGGACGACAGGTACGTAAGCTCGATTAACAAACACCCGTCATTCAGACATCACTTTTGAAGTTCAGCAACACTATCAAAGTAACAACTTTTAAGGTCGAAATGAATTATTTCAAGGTCACAGTCACAGTTCCCGACGCCGTGAGCCAATCGCGCCGGTCGCCCGATACAGGCCGGTCGGCTCACGGGAAGCTGCCGTGCGTGGTCTCACAATGTCCGATTCAACTGCAACCGATTAAGAGGAGATCCCATCGATTTCTTTTTTAGTGTAAACGGCAACACGTTTCTTTTCAGCCGAATTCTGTTTTAAAGAGAATTCGAAGCAATCATATTTCCACAAATTGAGGTCAAAGCTCGAACTTGGCCACTATATGCACCTAGTCTACCTTGAAGGTCATACTGCCCCATGTGTAAGAAAATAAAGGCATCAAGTCTTCCAGCACACTTTTCCTCGACATTTCATTCCGCAAACTGTATTCGCTTCGGCAAGTTGAAAACAAGGCTTGCGACGTCATTGCGATTTTCGTCTGCTCGTAGTCCTGTGTCGGTATGCTGTTCGGCTATAAAACTGGCAGAATCGTGTTTTGGCTGTCAAATTGCGTTATAGGCATTTGCTCGTCAAATTTGAAGGTGGTGCCGTGTTATACTCCGATCGATTTATTGTGGAATGACCCAAAGAGTTTTCATACAAGGTTAGGAGAGAGAGTTAGGGAGTGGCTGTGACAGTGCAGCCACACCTGAGCAAAACGCAACCAGCGGGGTGTCAACACCTGCTGAGAACTGAAGACTGTGGCAGACGGGGCTGCAAGGGGTTTCTGCTTAAGTTTAGACCGAGATGACAAGCAGCGGTTTTTAGGAGAGTGTCACACTTGGTGCAGGTGACTGAGGGAGATAACGCGACACATCTTACCAAACAAGTGCCATTGTCAATGCTTGAGCGTGCAAAGTCATGCATTCACACCAGATCGTTAGAGCTATGCAAAATAACTGTCCCTTGGTAGCTGGACAACTGCAAGGTGGATATTCTGAAACGAGAGCGTACTATCAAGATTTTTGCGTTCCACGTTCTGTGTTCGTGCGTTCCGCGACAATGGACAACATGATCGCCTTTAGAGGTGTCAGAGCATTTGTCAAACGCACCGTACGCAAAACTAAATGAAAGTTATGAAGGGAGTTCGTGGTCACTGTGAGCTAGGATCGCTTTTGAACTTGGGTGGGAGTGAAAAATTTAATTACAAAAAGATAAAACAAGAGTGAAAACTCAATTTACCAAATTTGGAACTTTTGAGTCAGTGAAAGATGCTCCAGAAAAACTCATATTTCAGGTCAAAAAACAAATGTCATATAAAAAACATGACAAAATGTTTTTTAACATCCTAGGTCGTTGCAGTGAAACAATACATCAAAGAATAACAATTTCATAAAAGTGTATTGAACATCAAAACCTATGTCACCCGAATGTTTTGATGCGGCACTTTGCACTTCCCTTCCGCAGGATCTTTTAACACAAAACGAAGCAAAGAAAATTCAACAACAAAAACAACAGACAACAATTCAACGAGAATAGGGTATTCAAACAAAACAGCCATGGACTCTTGCACACCAGCACACGACTAAATGAAATACCACAACTATACCTCTGGCTTCTGTTAAGATAGGGTCAGGAAACAGAAATATCGTGTCACTGTTGCTTGCAAAATACCAATGCTTATTTCCATGCAAGTCACCTAACTAAGCCTAACCTAAAGAAGCCTTACCTTATCTCTGTCCAATCTATTTGTATCACAGCAGCATTTGTGAATCACTGATTCTTGCAAACTTCCTACTGTCGCTTGTCATGCAATTAAAATTAACCAACTTAGTCCAACTTAGAGTAGCCCACATGCTGAACGTGGTCTCAGCTCACCCCACCTATTTCTTGCCATCAGCACTTGTGACAAAACCGGATAAAGCTTTTTGGGCAGATTTCAGCTTGCGTTTTGGTTCAATTCATTTGTGTCAGCTTGTTGAACCAAACAGTTACTAGAACACGAGTCAAAACCCCTCAAATCACTTCGAACAATTTGCCCTGATTATCATGGTAAGCCTTTGTCAAGGGCAATGGTGAGTATGTTCCACGAAACACTCTCTCACCTCCAAACATAACTTAACTTATAGATGACCATAAACCAGTTTTGCTGCTTGACGTTTCAGCTGCAGCAAAGGCATCCATTAAGGTTTGGTTATTCATGTTTAATGACTTTAAGTTTGAGATGTTGGCTTCACATTTTATGTGGGGTGGTTTGTTTGCTAGAGACCAATATCTACCTCACATTGTAATTGCCATGCAGCTTAAAGTATTATTGTGCCTAAAACAATAAAGCGCACATCTACAGTACAGTTATTTAGCAGTCGGCAAACTATTCCAAATATCGACAACATCTTGTTAAAACAAACATGAGGGACCACTTCAACAAATTTGAGGCAGGTAGTCAAGTTATGGAACAAAACAGTTTGATTACATGACTTGTGCGTCATAATTTGCCTCATGAACAGAACTCGATAGATTTGGACAGAAAATGAAAAAAATCTGGATGAAAATCATGTGATGAAGGCAGATCAGGTTAGCAATTAGTTGCTCCACAGGATAAACTTACTGGCTTTTTAAGGGCAGGCTACTTTCTGCCCCCCCCCCCCCACACGAAACGTCAGTAACTTTCGCATGGTTTACTGACAGACAGGGTCATCCAACCCACCCCCAAAATATAAATTTCAGCAATGTCCACCAACGCACAAGATTGAAATGCATATCGCTACCAAACACTTCTGTATTGGTTGCACCAGGTCTGTCCCAAAGATATGTACAGCAGGATAATGTAACATGGTGAAGAAGTGCAACTGGAGTGGCTTGCCTTCATCATTATCGAACCCCGCCATGAACACAAAAAAACAAAAAACAGGTAACTGGGGGTTTAACAGAGCAAACATGGCGGTAAAGTAAGCTCCGTGCTTCAAATCGGCTAGTTCATTCCCTACGAATTGTTCACTCTTGTGTGCATATCAAACATGCTCGGGCGGCTGGCGAATTAATCCGATTTATGTATGAAATATATGCATGCTTAGAGTTAGAGCATTTTGCAGAGAAATTGGTCGATATTTTAAACCATAGATGGTGTCTTTAAAGATGATCTGGGAGGAACGGAAACTGAAGTTGTATCACACTCGTTCGAGACCAAGAAAAACAAAAGTAATTCAGTAGATATAGAGACTTATAATTGTTTGATAAAATTCTGTAACAACAAACTTGACTAAAAATCTGTGAAAATGAGTGCTCAAATTGTGATATTCAGATTTTAGACTTAATTTATAAGGCATTTCTTGAATTTTTCAACCCCACATTTCGAGGGTGGTGCAGTTTAGTGGTCAGGTTTCTTTGGGTTGAATAAATACGTGGAGTAAAATTATCCACCAGCCTTTGTTGGTGTTTGTATCAGGCTTTGTTTTGCTGTGGTGTTTGCGTGGTGTGACCCCAAAAGTTGTCGATGCGTGAAAACTTTGCATTTACCACACAGATGAAGATTGTGATGCATTTTGTAAACACACCAAACTTGATGCATGCTAGCGGCTGGAGTCGCTGAGGCTCTCGGGCGTGAAGGTGCCTGGTGCCCTTGCTCTGAGCAGACATAGGCATGATTCAGATGTAGGTGAGGCAGGATATAACCATGGGTGTCCAGGTTCTGTATAATCTTGTTTATGCTTGATGGTTTCAAATGAGCTCGGTTTTGGATAACACCTTAAAACCTCTTAAAGGGAAATATGGGTTTGGTATGTGTAACTAGACAATATCAGGTAGGCATGACAAATTCACATCAGATATGGGGAAAAGGAATGAAAAATTATTCCTTATAGCATGTTGCTTCACACCCAAAGTCGGCAATTCTAGGATACTGCGTCGTCGGCCTAAAACGTCACCCTCCATTTGGTGCAGTTTGGAAACGAGTAAATCGTATATCTGGTCTTAGCGTTTCGGCTGCGGTTCCTTTGCTTTAACTGGGAGGATACAGCATATTGAATACCCAAGAATTGTCCAGTAATAACGTTCTGCCGTCTGCAGAGAAGTACCGACATGGAAACGACAGTCCAAAAATTATGCCGTGTAACGAAACGAGTGAATCGACGCCGATCAATATTGGAATTCACGAAGCAGAACTGTGTGGGTAAAAATAAACGTTTTCTTATGCTGAAGCTGCGTGCCGCCTTGATAAAAGAAAAATGAGACAGTCATAGCCAATATTTTGGCTGCATGACTGGGTACGGCAAATATTAAACTCGATGGCATCACCCCGCACTTCCGGTAGGATGCAGTCCCATGGCGACACCTGACTCTGAGCCATGATTTGCGGTTTTGTGCGCATGGAAAGGCCGAGGCTGTCACGCAATAACTCTTCAGTCATGCCATGAAACGGATTTTTTCTACGGTAACTTAATAAAAAGTTTGGCTGCACCGGTCTAAGCTCCTTCAAGCACCTGACAAAGTTTTACTGACCGGCACCTGCAATCCTTCAGGGAGATAAAGCCGCAAACTGGGAGATGGGAGTCCACCCGCTGCAGAAGCCGCTTGCAGGAGTGGCGCCTTGTAGGCTTCGCTTACCCCATACATACGCAACGCACTCTTTTTTCTTGACGGGCCACGACATGCCACAGTGTGACAGACGTGGGAAACGGTCATATGTAGAACGTGCAAAACAGGTCTTTTGCCAACGCTGCGAAAGAACTGGTGACGCTATGCTTCACCTGTGCCTCTCCGTCGGCTGATCGGTAAAGACCCATGTTGCGACAGCACGGTGAATCTGGTAAATCCGGCCCAATTCAGTAATGTTAACAACTCAATATTTAGTGTTCAACTCACGCGCCAGGGTGACGGGATGAATACCCTCGGGTGGGGGTCAACTGTACTCGGGCTTTGGGCTTTCGGGCTCGGGTGGGGGTCAATTTGACCCCCCTGAGATCTCAGAAACCGAGGGAGCTAGAGATTCCAAATTCACAGGACTTGTTGGTCTGTACGTGCATACACTGGTGCCAACAATTTGACATCCCTAGGCAATGACCTTTGGGTGAAACAAGGTCAAACAAAGTCAAACTCCAAATTGGTGTTTAAAGTGCCACAGCACCTACAAAACTGTTCTGAGAAAACTGGTCATTGGTAATTGTTTCAGGTCGGTGATCTTTTTGACCTTTCGCAGGTCTTGGTGACCAAAATCGCATAATATTGCTTTGAGTTGCATTTGAATAGGCGTCTGAGATTGCACTGAGTGGTACGTTTCTAAAGAAGTTCATAGGGATGTATAGTGCGATTCCGGCTATTAATAAATTCAAAATGAACATCAGAAACTCCCCTACACCGCAAGCTCTGAAGTAGAAAAGTAGGCCGGTTCTGACCTCGGTCTGACCCTCAGAAATGACCCGAGGTCAATGGAATTTGTTCATTCCATTGTTGTGTCGGCTAATAAACTATTTCAGAGATGTATGCCTTCTTCTACTAGTCCGTTATTGCATCAGGTTGAATGATTCCCTACAAATTGTCTTTGCTGAATCCATGGCCTGACTTTGACCTGCCGTAGTTCAGCGACCTTTTAAGGTACATCCAAAATTTGATACCAAATGATCCAGTATTCAATTGTCTACAGCTATGCAAGTTTGGTGCGGCTACGCTGCCCCGTTCGTAAACCATTCTGGGACAAATATTTGAGAGGCGAGGTCAGATTAGCCCCAACCGAGCTCTTGTTGATAAAACAAATGCTGCTGAACAAAAAATTCGGTTCTTCCAGCCGGGACAGACGGCTGAATGACCTGTGTTCAGCAGCCTCTACACGCCAGATGTTTTCACGTCACTTGAGACAGCATAGCATACGGCCCATCGGCCCCGAACTGAGACTGCCCCAGCACCCCACTCCTGAACTGGTCCCGGCTGTCCCGGCACCCCTCCCCTGAACTGGTTACGGCTGCCTCGGCACCCCTCCCCGAACTGGTCACGGCTGTCCCAGCACCCCTCCCCTCCCCTGAACTGGTCACCGCCGTCCCTGCACCCCTCACCCGAACTGCTCAGCGCCGTGCCGGCACTCCTCACCTGAACTGATCACGGCCGTTAATGTTCTCCTGCTTCAGACTGAGAATGATTGGGCCGAGGTCTTCGTCCTGCGTGAAGTAGTTCCAGTGTTCGGTGCCGTAGAAGTATTTCTCGTACGTCTCCTGCTCGATCGATGTGAGCTCGAAGGCGCCGCACTTCTCGTAGTGCTCCTCGATGGGCGTCTTGTCACGTGTCGGGGCTCGGATGGTGGGCACGCGCAGCAGGCGCCGCTCGCCGGGCGAGAACGGCGCTTCCTCGTCCTCGGCGCTCGCCTGAGGCAGTGGCGTGGCTCTGGCTCGCACTCAAGGCGGCTGACTCGGGGAAATTGGTCGGACAGGGACAAATCCTTCGGTGCAAGGCGCCAGTGAGGTAAATGACTGCCTACCGCATTTATAAAGATATGCTATCCCACTTAATGAAGTTCGCAAGTGGGGCCTTTGCAAATCCGAGCCTCGTCCATCTCGAAGTTTTTGTGGGCGCTGTTCCATTTCTGGTCATCCGAGCAATACCGCGGTCGCGACCACCTCCAACGCCCACACGCATAGTCCGCTTAACCCTACACCGACTCACATCTGCGGCATGACTCGTGGCGTCGCTGGGGCCCCAAGACCTTGCCTTGCTTGGCAATGGCGGCAGGCTGCTGGCCGCGTATGGCGCTCAGCTCAGGCCAAAGTTCAGAGGAGCCTCAAGTACGGAATGTATGCAGGGTGAAAAAGCGATTCACTGATACGAAGACGTTTAGTTCATCTATGAAAGCTTCTTCAAATGGCAATTTAGGTTGATATGTTGTTTCAAGGGCATGCCGGAGGCGATTTTCATTATCAATTTATTTAAAGGACGTCAAAAATCCAGCGAGCCTCTAGCAAAATTCGCCTTGCCGAGCCATGGCTATAGCACCCTTCTGGAAAGCAACCGTGTGATAGTACTTCATAATAAGTTGCTGGTCAGAAAGATCATGATTGGGCTTAACAACCACCTTGGTTGTTCACGCCATTCCACTCAAAATCATCAGGCGAGCGTTTCGACTAATTCGGACAATGAGCCCCTACCAATCCCGGTGCAACGATCGCCCGCGTTTGGCGCCCATCTCATCCCACCCACTGACCGCCGCGTCCTCGCGGTGAGCGGTGCCGTTCTGCGCGTCCTCCTCCTCGCCGTCCTCCTGGTGGTCGTCGGGGTCCTCATCGGCGTCCCAGGCGACGTCATCCTCGACCGGCTGGCCGGCGCACTCCACCCAGTACCCGGGCGTGACGATCAGGTTGTGCGGGTAGCCGCGGCAAAATTCGTCTGGCGGCGGCGCACGGCATCAGTCGGGGCCGGCGCCGGCGCCGGCGAGCGGTCACCACGCCTGCTGGTCACCGTCGCTGCCGTCAGCTGTTGTGACGCAGGGCCAGCTGAGCCTCTGGTCCGTGTGCTGGGCGTGAGTGGATGTGGTCCGTGTGCTGGACGTGAGCGGATCTCTGGTCCTTGTGCCGGTGGTGGGCGGATCTGGTCCCTGTGCTGGGGTGGGCGGATCTCTGGTCTGTGTGCTCGGGGTGGACGGATCTCTAGTCCGTGTGCTGGGGGTGCGCGGATCTCAGGTCCGTGTGCTGGGGTGAGCGGATCTGGTCCCTGTGCTGGGATGGGCGGATCTCTGGTCCGTGTGCTGGGGTGGGCGGATCTCTTGTCCGTGTGCTGGGGGTGCGCGGATCTCTGGTCCGTGTGCTGGGGTGAGCGGATCTTTGACCCGTGTGCTGGGGTGGGCGGATCCCTGGCCTGTCTGCAGCCATCGCAAATGTATGATTTGAGTCACCCAAAGGTCAACACCAGATGCCGTCCCGCACAGAGTGCAATCGCGCCCGGCCTCTTGATGGCAAGATGCTGTTTATGGTGGTTGCGCCCAGTGGTGTAGGTTTTAAACAGATCTTCTTTCGGGCTCATCCAATGCACATCAAATTACAAAACAATGACATCCGCAACAGCGGCGTGTGTCCACAAGTGGTAACCTTTTGTTGAAAACGGCTTTGTGCGTTCGCGGTAATGCTTAACGCTAGGAGTGCGGGCAACAGCTACTGCTAGCTAGTAGTGCGGGCAACGGCTACTGACAGCTAGGAGCGCGGGCAACGTCTGCTGCCAGTTCAATGAGCTTCTCTGAGCTATTCCGCAAGCTTCCGAGCTATTCTGGATAAACAGGGCGAGCGTGACTGACCTGAGCACGCCTGCGGCGGCAGGGGGAAGATCAAAGTGGTGGAGCTCTTCCTCCTGGCTACGGCGCAGCCCAGGCTCTGCGGCTTGAACGCCCGCAGCTGGTTCATGAAGTCGGAGCTCTCCATCAGCGCCAGGTCGGCAAAGTGCAGGTCACAGTAGATCTGCCACCGGCCGAGCACAGCAAAAACACGCAGTCAGGACCGCGCGCGGTCATCTGGTCGCATAGTCGGGACATGGCTGATCGGATACACAGGGCTGTATGGAAACTCTTGGTCGCGTATCATCACCTTACGATGGTGTTGGAGATGAACGAGACCGAACCGGTTACCCGACACCCGAACTTGTACCTAGCGATATTCTTAAACGCAGACCAGGTGGAGGCTGCGGTTAAATGAAACCTGTTGCGGCCTTCGCCCTGTATCAGTCGACTAAAGCGGTCCACAGTGTTTTTCCCTGTATGGCGCCTAAGGGTTCAAAAAGGTTCGCTGTCAAGGCGAAAGTGTCACACTGTAGGCTGTGAAGATAAGGGCTCGGCACCCCAAGTGACTATGATTCTGCGCATCTGAACTTCATCTGAGTCCAATTTCAAAATTACCGAATTATAAGCCTGTGCGAAATTACGAACCTACGCAATCATATCCTGCAAAGGTTTCATGCTTCGGTCTCGTGTGGGCAGCCGAGCCACAAACAACGAAGTTTTGACGCCACGTTTATCTGCGTATGACCCAGAACAGGACAAGTTAACATGATCAGTGAAGTAAACGTGATACATGTAAATCAGTTGTCATGTTTATCATGTTAGTCTTCGCATCGTTCATCACGCTAGCCCATTTCTGTACGCCTGCCCATAAGGCACGATTCAGAACTGCGTACCTTCGCGGCTTTGTCTCGCGAAACTAGGCTTAAGTCAGTGAACCAGGAGGTCTCACATGTCCCCCGCCGCTTATCGCCATTGACTTGCAATAACGAACTAGAATATTCTCTCATAAGGAAGCATTAATTACCCTTTCATCGTACAGCTGTAGTGACATTACTCGCAGGAAACATGGTACGTATTTACCCTATGTGCTTATTCACACCGCCATTTAAGTTCAAGCCCGACCGTTATTTCATCCTCACGAGAACCTGTCATGCATAACAGCCAAGTACACCTTTCTGCTCTTCGTTACGCCAGACCTGTGCGGCACATGGCCGATGCGTTTGACACCACCCCGCGAGCAGCTTACGGAGAACCAGCAGCACTGCCCGGCCAGCCATTACTGACTGCGACGGCCTGTCGTGATTGGCAGCTCCCAGACCGGGGTTCACCCGGTCCACTACTTGCGGTCCAATAATCCGGACGAGCTGCACTTGGCTACCAGCAAAGTGTAATGCACTCCCTACAGAGCTGCCTTCCGTCTTTTTGTGGGCGTTTTTATTGCTGGACAAATGACGTTGTTCATGACACAAATAGCCCAAGTGCTGCGTCTGAGTGGTGCGCCTGGGCGTAACCTCGCAGGTGAAGGAGCCATCCCCTCGCTCCCGGCAGTTGGCTCCGGCTCCAGCTTAGAGCGGAGCGAGCTCAGGCCGTGACAGGGCCGTATTAAGGACTACAGGGTGCGAACCACCCACTGCTGGAGTTGGTCACTCGACGAAAACGCAGCCTTATTCAGCCATCCCCTGTGACGGCACTCGGGCAGTGCGCCGCTTCCGCGGGCCAGCGCCGGCCGCGCAGCAGCGGCGGTGCGGACGGCCCACCGGCTGCGGCCCGCTCACCGTGTTATCATGTCGGCGAGCCCTCTTCTGGTTGGGTCCGGTCAGATTCTGACCGCATGAGTTGCACCGCAGGCACTCCTCGTGGTAATAGTTGTTGTCGTGGGGAGAGGCGTCCTCTGAAGCAGTCGGTATTGATCACACAGCAGCCCTGGGCACCAACGTCTTAGAATAGCACATTTTTTTTTGGGGGGGGGGGCGGAAACGGGTGTAGCTATGCATGCAAGTCGGGTACTCCGATTCAAGGCGAGTTAGGAAGTGTCCTTTTTGCCCAAATTCGTGGAGGTTTAGGGGGCGCGCAAAGATCAGTCATTTTTACTTCTAATGGAACCGGTAGGACGTTATAAAAATGGACATTAATATCAGCTGCGACACTTGAAATGCAGCCCTCAGCACTCTCTTAGCACAAAGATTCCACATTTTTCCACATAGCATTTAGTGTCTGTGCTATGTGCGAGATGGAAAATGCTATTTTTGGGAGCGGCAGAAGTGCGTGGAAAGGAAAACATTTCAAATCGCGTCGAAATGGGTGTAAAACGAATCCTCGCAAGTGAAGTAGATCGATGGTATGCATATAAATGCGATGCGAGCTCATTTCAACTATATTTGACTCCTTATGACCTCACTTTGACCTTCCCATTCCCTGCTCGACCGTGATCAAGAAAAGACTATCAATCCACGTTGCATAATGAAGATGTACCAAACAGACCTTTATGTCACATTATCCCTCTACAAAATAGCCATTATAAACGCATCGTATGCTGTACACGCCATTGCACAAGGGGGTATGTGAAGTGTACGCTTATCAGCATGCTGGTCTCCTGCCAGTGCGCTTCCGCCTTCCGCCGAAGCTGGCGCAGATGATCGTTGCCACCGGCTGCAACGCTTGTGAAGTTCGGACATCATTGGCGACGCGTTCCTGTCACAACTCAGCCGTTTTCATTTCTGACTAATATATATTTCTTAGCCATTTACCGCCGTAGGTAGTCATTTAACTGTTATGGGCGCAAAATGACCACAGTAGTCGGCGCGCCCTAAAACTCCAACCAACAACAACAGACACACGCTTTTCTGTGAAATTATTTGTTACTTGGACACAACTCTCAAAATGATATTAAAGTAGATAGTCGTCGCTGGCTTTCCATTCATGGGTTGGTTTGCACAACCACCGGCCCGCGTCGCTCTGGATGTTGGAATGGTATGCAGGGGGACTTATCTACCAAATCTGACATTGTGTACCCCAGTTGACGAATAGCGCAGTATCATCAAGATCATTCGCCACGGGCATAGACAACAGCGTCGAAGCCATGACTGTCTTCTCATTATCAATGGCGTTACCCAAACCAGACAGGCCAAGACCTTGGTCCTCAAAGAGATCTAGTGGAAAGGCATCACAGCCATCGCCGCTTCGATCACGGGCTTGTCAACTGTACGATAGTTCTGAAGGTGTTCGTGCCGCTTCAGGTCATTTCTAGGAACGTCAGCGGATGCAGGTACAGACAGACACGAGGGTACAATGTCCGCTGACGCGCCAAAGAAAAACCTGAGGCTGTTTCAGAACGTGCTGCACTGCAGGGCGGTTAACAGTTCCGCAGAAACCTGGTTTGACTCCTAACTCATTATTAGGGTGTGTCATCGAGGGGCTGAATCTCTTGGAATCAATTCAGACAAAATTGTTATTTGGCACACGGATCAATGATAAACTTTCAGGTCTGTCGCACGGCACCAATGTTGATATTCGTGACGCGAGAGCAGTTTTTCCTTGATACGCCAAGAACGTCGTATTTGGTGCTAGCGTCGGTTTTTGGGGGTAAAACTTAAAGCTGCGCAGTTATGAGAATGCTCCAGCAGACCGGGGTAGGCTTAAGTTTGAGATCGTTAACACCATTGTAATATTGATTTGCAATTTATATGCTTGTTGTGCGGACGCTATGGGCTAATAAGTTTAATTTTGCTGGTAGTGACACATCTTTTCGACCAATTACTCGCATAAGCATGTCCTACCACCAACTGTCGACTACGGGAAAGCCTTGAGCTACATCAGGTGGCCGAGCGAATCGAAGAGGACTCTCGCTTATACAATCTTCAAGACCGCGTAGGCAGAAAGCAGGGAACTGTGGACCAACGTAGCGATCCCTGAAATGATCTAAAATGCGTGACAAAATTGATAGAGAGGGATTGACATCATCCCAACAGAGTTATCAGCCGGAAATCAAAGAAAGAGAATAACACGGCAGCGCCATCGCCGCGAAATTCAACAAGCTTCTCGATATCGCGAAATGCAGGTGCGAATCTCAGCACCGCTTTCCATGCTCAATTGACTGCACAGTGTATCAAGAGGAGGTTGCCTTGAAGACCAGTGCAGGCACCGGAAGCTTACCCTGGGGTCATATGACCGGGATACGACTGTGACTAGGGAGGCTCGCGAGGTGCGGAGGATGGCCTGACAACTCGAGGAGCGTCATGGATCGGCCGCCAGTGAGGCGGTGTCTGCTGCTGAACCTGAGTCGCCTTCCCCGCCGACTGCTGAGCCCGCGCCGCCTGCTGAGCCAGCCCTGGCTGCTAGTGCTGAACTCAAGCCTGCTCCGGGACCAAGTGGTCTCAGCGCTGGCGACTCAGCCGAGAGCACAGATTCCTACACCGCTCCCAACATGGTAGAAGGGGGCGACAACGCCGATTGTTCGTTCCGGTTGAGACCACTGCCACTGTAGAATATGGCGTTAACGATCTGACTAACACCGCTCTGGTGGTTGACCGCTACGGTGGCTCGAACCGACCGCTGCTGCTATCATCAATGCCTTTCAACAAGACAGCAGAGACGGACTGGCTATTTGAAATCAAATATCATAGATCCTAAGAAGATATGCTGCGCAAGAGGCAGAGCGAGAAAGGAGACGTCTCGTCAAATTGATGGAGCAACCCAGGAGTCAGGTTTAACCATCCTCTACTCCGACGGCCGCAAAGGCAGGAGCTACATGGGTCACACGGAGCCAAGCGAATAGCGTAGAAAAAAAACACGGTGGTTGTCATCGCTGAGCCAGGCAGCCGCTACGTGACTCATTTTACGTCCGAATTCGGGCGCGTCCTGCACCTGCCCAACGAGCTACGCTCCGTGAGCCCGCAGTGCGACGATCGCATCAATGTGCGCTGCTGCGGTGGCACGGCCGTCAACACCGACACAATAGGCGACGTGTTACGGCTGTTTGAGCTGGCCGCCAAGTCACCCGTACACTGGTTCATCCGCTTGTTGCATGGCAACGAGCTGAACCTCCCCCATCTGCTGCCGCGCTTGGACGGCACGACCACGGGATCGATTTTTTTACCCATCGGCAAGACCTGCGCCGGAGAGGTCTAGGAGAAGGATGTTATGGCATTCAAGCCTATGCCGGGGCACGTGCCAAACCTGCCAGTCAACCTGATTCAGCAGCTGAGCACCAACTAGCAGCTGCTGTACCCTCTGGCCTCCGGCGTCCAAAACGGCTCTGTCCGAAACGTGGCAGTCCGGCGGCGAATCGGACCATCAAACCACGTCAGGTAAATATGAAAACGCATTTTCTTCGAATTTATAGCAATGAGTGTCTAAACTTCATCCAGTATCAATTGATATTTCATGTAATCACTGTTGTGCATTTACTTATTATCATTCCTTGTGCCGTTGCATGTCGTATTATTTGTTCGTTGGCCCATGCTTACTAGTACATTTATTGATATGCATTACGTCACACTTAAGGACTATGGACATCGGCATAATTACATGCACTTAACAGGTGCAACAATTTTTGTATGATATAATGCTCAGTTCGTAGCAAATTGATCTAATATATTCGCTTTTACTTTCAGATGGTTGACATTCTCTGGCCGCTCGCTTGCTCCTAGTATCGAAACACACAGCAGAACTCTCAAGGGCCTCGTTTAGCGCGTGGTCAGCCACCATGTGCCGGTATGGTCCGCCATCCGGCAGAACAGCAGCTGCGGCCTTGCCTCACGCAACTTGTTCCGGAGCATCGCGCTGCTCCGCAAGCTGCCGCATCGCAACAGAGGCCACGGTGCAGCCAATCCTCGGTGACATCGTTTCCATACGCAAAAGTCTTTTGTATCGCTTGCCGCCCACAGCTTGGTGCTTCCTGCGGCAGGCTAAGTCAACCAGCATGAGGTGACTGCAACGCCAGGCGCCGGTTTACGGCGATACTTCGATCGGCTCGTGCGTCACGAATTTAAGTTTTGGGGAACAGCTTTTGTTATGCCGTGTACTTTTGCACTCCTGCGTCAAAAATGTATTTGTCTCACTTCATTTTGTTAGTGATGACAGACCCTCATCATAGAGTGACCTCATGAGTCGAGTTTAAGGTCGGAGCCTGTGTTAGCCTTTCTCTAGTTCAGTCTTTCAGTTATTCAGTTCAGTTCAGAGTAGTTCAGTTCAGTTCAGTTTAACTCCTTGCTGGCCTGAAGACGAGGTCGAATGAAGCTAATTTTTATTCTCGCTGAGCTTGTTTGTGAGTAAGGCAATCGCAATTTGAACTGGTGGCTCCTTAAGTGAGGTAGGTTCATCATATGTCAGTAACGGATGCTGCTCGTTATTGCATGAACCACAGCACGATGTCGAATGGTTGACATGTCACCGCCGACGGCACGGCTAATACTGACTAGTGGAAATGTGGTTCCCTACGTGTGGATGCACTTGGCTGATAATTGGCAGGTCTAGACTGCCAAGTGTCAGGTTTAGTGCAGCCTGGTTTACATTGCAAACTAAGTAACTGATGGGTCAGGGTCGTATGTGCCGGGTAGAAAGTGCTACCCTAGAGCTGAGACTTGAGACAGCTGGTTGATGGCAGATTGCGGGAAAGGTATTCTTTGCTGCACTGCATTCGCTATGTTCATACTACAAAATTGCTAGCAGCCTGTTTGCACCTATATTGTATGCCATAATATAGGTATATATATATATATATATATATATATATATATATATATATCACATCTTAAATTTCGCAAACTGTTTGGTTTGTCGATCAAATGGTTCAATGCAAGCCATGAATCTGAGGTGAGCTGAATCAAAAACATTGAAACGGCCATGAACCATGAGCTGAATGGGATCCCAAGGTCTGTAAGCCGGCCCTGAGCCGGCTTAAAACAACTGAATCGAACACCAGTGTAGTAAGAAGTGTTAAATCTGAAAGGTAGTAGAGACCCAAGTGCTTCATTTCAAGCTATCAAACTGGCGTGAATGTATGTTTATATAGAGCCATGCTGGTTTCCCTAGAAGAGAAAATGCCTTATGACAATCAAACTTCTCAGCTCATTGCGTACCACATAAGCAGCCATGCATTCTGAAAAAATGGCACCACCGATTTCGTTTTGAAAAGGAAAACGAGATTATTTCAGAATAGCCCTAATTCTCTAAAAAGTATAATTGTGGGCTTAACTAGTGCGCGCACTTAACCCACATGCACAGGATCATATCGTTAACGGCGCTGCTCGGAAACGCAGGAGCGTCTTGCTTTCGGGACCATTTCGTATGAAAGAAATGAATTCTTAAGAACAAACAAGACCTGATCCAGGATGACCACCGGCATAACTGTCACAACCGATGTTCTGGATGCCGCGCCTCACCCACCTAACGCGGCGCTGTGCTGCGCAGTAACTCAACGGGCGCTTGGAAACGCGCGAGCCTGCGCGTCGTCCCGGCCGCCGCGGGGTCTCTCGGCCGACACCCAGGGGAGCGTCTCACCCCCCGGCTGCTGCCGCCGCCCGCCCGGTACCAAGCGTGCTAACTAAATAGCTCCGCGTCGATCAGGTCACGGTCTGACCGCGCCGCGGCGTTTACGTCACCTACGCCCGTCGACTACCAAGCGGCGCCGGTCTTGGCCACGCTCGTCGACTACCGAGCGGCGCCGGCCCTGGCCACACTCGTCGACTACCGAGCGGCGCCGGTCTTGGCCACACTCGTCGACTACCGAGCGGCGCCGGCCTTGGCCACACTCGTCGACTACCGAGCGGCGCCGGCCTTGGCCACACTCGTCGGCTGCCGAGCGGCGCCGGTCTTGGCCACACTCGTCGACTGCCGAGCGGCGCCGGTCTTGGCCACGCTCGTCGACTACCAAGCGGGCCGGCCTAGGCCACACTTGTCGACTACCGAGCGGCGCCGGCCTTGACCACACTCGTCGACTACCGAGCGGTGCCGGCCTAGGCCACACTTGCCGCCTACCGGGGGGTGCCCCTAAGCCACACTCGTCGACTACCGAGGCCGCTGACTACCGAGGGGTGCCCCTAAGCCACACTCGTCGACTACCGAGGCCGCCGACTACCGAGGGGTGACCCTAAGCCACACTCGTCGACTACTGAGCTGTGCCACATGAGGATGTACCGATGGAGTGATCGGATCTGATGATTGGACGGCGGGATGGTCCGGCTGGAGAGCTGTTTATCTGCTGACGGCCATGAGGCTCAGCGGGGAGAGGATAAGTGTCCAGCCCTAGCCAGCTCAGCCGTGTTAAGGTTCTGAATGAGCGACTTCTGTTGTATAAGACTCGTTGCCGAAGATTGGTTTCTGGTAAAAGGCGTGAGATGATGCTGTTGTTCCCGTTGTTACTGTTGGTTTTGTCGATACCGTTATCATGCTTCTGTTGCATATCGGGGGTAGGCGCCAATACATAACTGGCTCTAAAATTGTGACTTGTATCGCATTGTAATAAGGCGTGACACGTCTGCCCCAAATTCAAATAAGGCAGAATTGAACAAACGTGCATGAACCACTGAATACAGGAGATAAGCCTATCGTGGGTTGCAACAAAGTGAACGTGCGTGGCAGCGACTATTGCTCGCGTAGGACTTGATGTGATAATACTCTAGAATATTTGCTAGTAATACGGAACTGTATAATTACGTAGAATGAGCTACACAAACACTCATACCTTTCAATTTGACAACCCGTACTATGGTGTGATTTCAACAACTTCTCAGATAGTGGCAATGTTCATGCTGACTGACTATGTGAAGGCTACATCAAAAGTTAAACAGAACACGTCGCGACGCGCACGTGTAATATGCGTGGAATGAGTGCAGCAAAGGCAGCGATGCATATGAACTATGCAATGGGCAACGTCACGCTATCCTGTCAGCTTGGGAGAAGCTGCTGTCTTGAGAGGGGCTGGAACTTTTCAAAGCTTTTGTACTGGCGAATGAGAAAACACGTCTGATATGATCTTGGACAGGGTTGAAATGGAAGTCCAGGCAAGATGCGAATACAGATCAGATGGTCCAACGGATCCATGTCGAGTAATATAATAGCACCAGTCTCGCCCGGTATGAGCTGCTTCCGAACTATGAACAAGGAGAGAGAGAGAGAAAGAGAGAGAGAGACAGACAGACAGACAGACCAGGACAGAGAGCGAGAGAGAGAGAGAGAGATGAGCGAGGAGAGAGAGAGAGAGAGAGAGAGAGAGAGAGAGAGAGAGATAGAGAGAGAGAGAGAGAGAGAGAGAGAGGATGAGAGACGAGGAGGAGAGAGAGAGAGAGATAGGAGAGAGGAGAGAGAGGAGAGAGAGAGGAGAGAGAGAGAGAGCAAGAGTGAAATGGATAGGTTTAGGTATATTGATATAGATCTGTGGAGACGTGAGGTATGCATGGCCTCTGAAGTCGTACAGTGTCTCGCCAGCAGCTATGCGGGAGGAACTGCGAGCCTGACCAACAGTGCGCCTCTCGTTTAAAGGGTAGGATCACTTTTCACTTTGTTTCAGCACACTGTTGGCCTCGGTGCGCATATGAGTATGCTTGTGCCTTACCGTGATCACGTTGGAAAGTTTAGAAGGGCGGGAACCACAACAAAAACAATGCTTGTGGATTAGGTCCTGAGATGTTGTGGTCCGCATCTGGGTGCGACTGGCATAGCGCATAGCCCGGGCCATGGTATAGATTGACCAGGAATGGCAAAGGCTGAGGTCCGGGTCATGCTGCAGATTGACCAGGAATGGCAGAGGCTGAGGTCCGGGTCATGCTGCAGATTGACCAGGAATGGCAGAGGCTGAGGTCCGGGCCATGCTGCAGATTGACCAGGAATGGTAGAGACTTGAGGTCCGGTTCATGCTGCAGATTGACCAGGAATGGCAGAGGTTGAGGTCCGGGTCATGCTGCAGATTGACCAGGATTGGCAGAGGCTGAGGTCCGGGCCATGCTGCAGATTGACCGGGAATGGGAGAGCTTAGGAAGGTAACAATGACCGAAAAAAGTTAGAATTTTTTGACAGATAGATAGGAAGACCACGCTCAGGGATGGGTGGGGAGAGCTGGGTACAAAGCCCAAACAGACATACCGACGCTTGTCAAAATTTTGAAGGACTGACTTTCCTCCCGCTCGGTACTGGGGCTGACCACTCAACTTCATATACTCGAGCGGAAAAAGAATTGGCCGAAAAAGCCCTCTGACTGATCTCTCATGAGGAAGTCAGGCTCAGAGAGCATCAACCCAAGACACCAACCATGGACGACTTCCTTGAGCGGATGAACCGGGCGATCGTCTACATTGCTTGCATTCTCTCGCATGCGTATTCAACTACATTAGAAGAGCTTTTACATAAAATAATGAACCCCGTCTCTACGTTCAAAAGCCATATTTTATTACTTCTTTAGGTATCAGCGACTCAAGCATCGGCATGTGAAGTAAGGCTTAACTAGTTCGAGGCCACGTGCTTATACAGAACGATCTCAACACGGCTCCAGCTGCGGTTGGACCTTATGCAACTTACAGCTGGATGCTGACGATTCGCCGTTTCCGGGTCACCGTGCGGGCCCGGGTGCACTGCGCCCGACGGCGAGAGCCTCGTGCTGCAGCGAGGCACGGTATGGGGAGGACAGGGGAGAGCAGGGGCTGAGGTCACACCACGCCGGTCAGGGCACGCCGTCTGAACGCCGGAGGTGCCTCGTGCTCCGGGCTGGCCGGCGCACGCAGCGATCAATGCCGCCGCGCGGCCGCCCGAAATCGCGCTGACCTGGCGACCCCCCCCCCCCCCCCCCCGCTCCGCGACCCTACTCCCTCTCCAGGTGCGTGTTGTTCTCAGGCCCTACAGAGTTCCCCAGACAGACGCTGTCGCTGGCAATGTCTCGTAAGCTGCGTAGCCTGCATTACAGCACGCCAATGTTTTTGAGCTGGTTGTGAACACTGTGTTACTAAACAAAGATCGCCCACGGTCACTGAGCTCGACGGTCACTGAAGCGACCAACAAACAGACCGCAGGGATCAGGCCACCGAAAGCGGCCTGAGTCGTCATCGATCTGAGCTGTTTGTTGTTTTTAAAGAGTATTGCGAGACACCTCGCATGCACCCTTTTATGGAGCACCAGCGGCTTCTTTAGCCATATTAGCACTGAGGTCATAGAGCAAGCGGGACTCGAATCCGGGCTCCCACGTGGGAGCGGAAGGCGCTTGCCACTCAGTCACCACGCCCCCTGAGAAAAAATGCGGACGCCCCCTACGCTTCACCAGGAAAGGATGGCTGGGTTCCATGATATGCTTTCAGACCATTACAAAGCCAAGCGGATTCGAAGACCAAACAAGTGTTGGCGTATAATGGTGGAACGAGATGTTGCTTTCCCTGAACTACTGATTCCAAACATCTGAATAGCTGACACAGGATATGGCCCTTAAGGACTGCACAAATAAAGTCGTTCGCGCACAGAGGCTTTCCCATGAGGAAGGTCTGACTGGAGCGACAGATGATGATAGCTTTGCGTGCCGTGCAACAGCGTGTAGGCGCGCTTGTTTATACCACCTCTAGTGCCCGACGAAAAGTCACGGTCACACCCATCCAAGCCCAATCTAAACAGCAATCGATGCCGTCACGAAACGTCTGCAAACTGCTAGGTGTGCATCAAGACCCAAGGGGCCATGCAAGATAAGTTCGTGAACACGGTTTGGCAACGAATCGTGTCGGCAATATGCAAATTCTATTTTATCGTCCCTCTTACTGTAAACGGGTTAGCGTGAGTCATTTTCATCTGGCCGTGCCGCGATGATGCGGTGTTTAGCGCATGCAAACTTTACAGCTCGGTGAGAGTAGTCGTGATGGCAAGTCTTAGAAGTCACCAAAAGTCTACGAAGCGAAGACCCACTTTAAAAATGTGCGCAGGCTTCTTGGAGAAGCTTGTCATGCTCATGACAAGCTGATGGACACATGCTCGCTCTGCAATCTTCTCTGATTTGGAGAACACCGGAAATAATCCAAACGAAACCTGTCCGAAAGCGTTGCATGGCGGATGAAAAGCTTGCAAAGATGTGATCCTTTGTGTTGACCGTAGCTTATTGAATTTGTTGTGGGGAAAAAAGTTTTTGTGTAAAAAAGAAGACAAGCTACGGTGCGGCCCACAGTACAGTTAATCGCCAGTTGACATGGAGATTGCTTTCAAAAAGTGTGCTTATGTTGCGGGTCCAGGAGCGAGAGACCGCGGGCCGTGATGATCAGCTTAGTAGACTGGGTAACTTCTCCGCTACTCACAACACCTAAGTTTTGGCTATTTTATTTTGAGGGAGTCCTTTTCACCGCGATTTTTTCCCAAACAGATATGAATTTGTTGGGAAAAGCTAGCATGCCGACCAGTGATAGCTAGAAACTTGTCACACATTCTGACTAACCGAAGGTGTGCCAAATTTTTGCTTAAGCTTGAGCGTTTTTTGCCGTTTGAACAATCACTTGCTGCGTTTCTACCCATTTGACCCCACTGAGCTATCAATGCTGTCAGCCGACTGTATCCGTTATTTACATACAGAGTGACATTATGCGGTTTGTTATCGTTTTGACACACCAAATGCGCGTATCCGTTCCTTATCTCAAGCGCCTGCCACCATTTAAACAAAAGAACTGCCGTGGATTTCACAATTTCATCCAACTGAATCCGTCCCAAAGTTTGTGTCTGGCATGCACTACTCTACCAAGCATGCCGTCATCAACATCCTTCCACGCTGAATGTGCGCAGATCTGAAAGAAGGTTTCAACTTGATTGTCAGCAACATGGTTTTGAACAGCAAAGTTCCATAAAAATACCCAAGGAGCTCCAGGTCCCCTCACAGGTCATGGTTGACAAGTCTCACACAGCGTGCAGAGCGTGTTTCACACCGTGTCTCGGCCTGACCCCGGCACCGTACCGTCCAGCAGCTGCGAGGTCGGGTCGGGTCCTCCGTGCGCGCTGGCCACGTCTTCGAACACGGTAGACTGGCGGCGGAAATTGCGGCAGCGCACCATATCTTCTGTGGTGGACTGACGCCGGAATCCCTGTTCCGGAGGTCAACAGGCAGTTAGCGCCGGTGTCCTCAGGGCAGCGCGCGGCCGGCCGGGACCCAGAAGCCACGCAGCAGCGCGAAAACGAGAGCGCATGTTCCGGTGAGCCTATGCCTGTTTGGAATTATTGGTTGTGGATCCTGCAGAAGACAAACAATTCTCGCATTTTCGAAACATTCGCTTCGTAGGATGTCATAGGGGCTGGTCCGACATTGGCCCGTAAACATGCTGTACTTTTCCGTTACGAGCGCGCAATAGCGACCACCGATTTCACAAACCGCTTTTTTGTTTTTCCCCATGGTGCAGAAATCGCTAACCCGGTGTTGCTCCGCGCGTCTCACCCGTACCAACATAATGCCTGCCAGCTCCGTGGCAACTGACATCTGGACCGTCTCCGTTTTTATGTTTTACCCTGAATATTCCCGAGCCCGCCGCTTAACGCGATGGCGACTCCTAAACGTCGGCGGCGGCCAGGTTTTGTCCGGTCAGCTCGTTCTGAGAGGCATCAGGGCCCGGTCGATCGCAATCAATGACGTCAATCGGCAAGCTACCACGTCAGCTTCCATGGTTGCTGATGCAGCAGGATCAGTCACCATTGGGTGAAGATGGTGCAGACACATGTCAGTTATCTCGTGGAAACGGAAGAGAATCTACAAATATGTTTAAATGTATCCAAATAAAAATTGGAAAATGGGCTGTGTATAAAAATGTCCACAAAGAGATTTATGCATTTTACATGCATCCTGGTAACGATGGGAATTATTTCCCCACTGTCTGGCTAAACTACTTAAAAAAACGTGCATAGCTTCTGTCCTCTAACCTCAAACTTACCGCTTTTGACTTTTATAATTCTCTATCAGTGGGATGATGTCTCAAAACATTAAAATGTACACATGTCAACGAATATATCAGGGATTTTCTACAAAACGTCTTTTATCTTAAAGAGGGTGCTCCACATCTGTGAGGAGTTTTGAACTGAATAGCCATCTTGAAGATCATTCGGTGCAGTTCACAGCCCAGGCTTCCTAAACACCTGAACACGTTTGTGCACCTGATGTGCATACTCCTTCGGGGAGACTGTTAATATGTCCAAAGCTGTTAATATGCTTTAGAGACCACCTCAGTTTTGTCTAATCTTTGAACAATATGCAATGGCTTGAACATTCTTTCGGAGCAACTATTTCACGGCGATCGTTATCACTGCACGGTACCCGCCACCTGATGTGACGTATAACGCTCAACGTCGATCAGTTTTACGAAAACTACAGCTCCGACCATCGCTGTTCTGGCTCCCGAGCTCGGGAGCGCGCTGGAGGAAGAAGAGCGGCTAACACATTCGGTTTTACCAAGACTGCAGCCCTGGCCGCTGTTGTTCTTGCTCCGAAGACTGCAAGTGCGCAGGCTCAAAAATTGTTTGTGCACTTTTCACCTTTTCGTTTCACTAGTGGATTCTACAAACAAATTAAGGTTTTAGGCGGACATAGGGTGACCTGTCTCATTTTTTACCTTATCTCGACATACGCTATTCAACATTTATAAAACCCGCTGCATTTTCCAGGGAAGGGGTCCGTAAATAGAACGCTAGGGTGCGCATAATCGCTCCCGGTCAAGGACTCAACGGCCATTCTGTCCCAGTGTGGGGTGCCTTCCGGATGCCATCCTGGCGACACGGGGTGAGGTCACCTGGTCGATCCGGAGGCCATTAAAAGGAATACATCATGTTTCATTGCTCCACTCCCGGACGCGGATGCCTCTAACCCACGCAGCCAGCCCTGGCTTGACGCAGCGACCCTCAACGTCGTAACAAGATATCTGATCGCCGCAGGTGGTGCCATAATTGTCAGTCATTTCCCGGACGCCAGCAGTCGACCATGAAATGACCGCTGTCACGTTTGTCGAAAACCATCTCAAATACAACGCGCTGGCGCCTAAACCCGGCGAGCTGGAGTCGTGACAATACCAATGGCGCAAAGCCCGGTTCACGATGGTTAATGCCTACCAAAAATTTATTCCGCATCCCACAATGACTTGGTCGCAATCGCCCACAATGTGCGTCGCTGCGCAGGTCCCCTTTGAGTCCCTTGACATCTCCGTGTACCGCAATTGGTTCATTTTAAGTGCCAAACACGCGGCGCGAAGAGGCAACGTAATTTCATCAAATTTGACTCGCGTCACTGCGCGTCCCTTGCTTTTGCTCTATCCACCATACTGAGATGCTGTGGAGATTCGTGTTTGGGTTGTTGGATTTATTTATGTGTTTAAAGCTGTATTTTTTAAGTGTGATAGCTACAAGAATCAGTACTTTAACCAACGAACAGCACATGTCTTATGAACTATGAACTAATTGCAGCACAACAAGCTACCGTAAAAAACTATAAATGCCTTCGATGCACCATGTAGGTTAGATTTTTAGCTTATACTAACAATTTGCCAGCCGGTAACTGGAGGTAACATGGCGCCGCTGTTACATTAGTGATCTGTTTAAATTTAGATAAATTTTAGGTCCAGAATTTCAGCAAGAAACTTTAAAAGAGCTGCCTGCACCTACCTTACAATAACAGTAGTCATTCTCTTATAGCAAACGACTGAGGAAATTCGTTAGAGGCCTGGTAGAACAATTATGGAATATCCGGAATTCGAAAGCACGACCTATCTATCATGAATCTGGTAGGTTACTGTCGCAGCTATGTAGCTAATGAGGCCGCTGGGTATGTCGCGTAAGTCTAAAAATCATAGAGCATAATGCATGAAAGCCCTCACTCGGTACGCCTTAAAATTTAGCTTCTCCAGACAGAAAACGGCTGACGGGTCGGCTCAAGACAATACTTCGTTTCGTGCCGGGCTCATCGAGACTGGTCTGATATAATTCGGTCTACTGTTGTGTGAAACACAGACATTCAACACGCGAACCTCACAGGCTGGTAGAAAAAGTATGCCGAAGAACGGTTGTGCTACCTCATTACTTCGGTCGGGGCCGGCGGCTGGCGGCACAATCTCACTGTCGTCGACCGATTACACCGCATCGCACCGTTCCCTCTACAACGACGGGTCGGAGCGACCAGGGGGTGGCACGCTCCAATATGGAATCGGATGAAAATATATACCATGCCGAATGACACTAGTGCACGTACTTCTTATCACGGGCACACGAGCTGGCGAGATGCATTTGGCTGTTTTCAACGATGTTCACTTTTGTGCGACATTTCGGCACCCAGTGCTTGGAGCGACTCGGAAGGGGCATGCTATGATAAGGTATTTAACGAACAATCGTCTGCTAAATATTCGGTCACACGTACCACGTGTCATACACAAGTGCTGGAATGTGAATTTTGCTATTTTCGACGGGTTTACACGTTTTTCTCGCGATATGTCGGCACCCAGGACACGAAGCGACTGAAGAGTGGCAGACCTCGGTGGATAATCTAACGGGGAATCAAATGTGATAGATGCGAGTGGAAAATGTGATGTGATGCAAGGTATGTGGATAAACATGTCACGTGTCAAGGATGCACTTGCCAACAATAATAATTTCGTCAATTCCAGCCGTTTTGCTCACATTTTGCGCCATATCTGGGTACCTAGAGCGGCTAGAGGAGTGAACGAAGCCGCAAAACATAGATAAATCCAATTTCTACGTGTTAAAATAATCGTAATGAAACAAGCGTGCCAATGCCTGTCTTATTTTGGAATGTATCTACTGCATTCCATTAGCATGGAACCTATGCCAATGGAATTTGGATTCTGTATACACCTGACTAGCCGTTTTCGAACTCCGACCAAGCCAGGGAGCTGATATGTAACCCGCCTCGTAGTATTGACTGCAAACATATGAGAAGTCGACACTCTGTGACACACTCTTGACTTTGTGTGTACAATAGAATGGCATGCAGTTGTTATTTATAGGAACTTATTTTCCTTAGCTTTTGCAAATGCACTCAATATTCACATTACCGTTGGTGGCATCGTGAGGTTGCCGACAATAAGTAAAGAAAACTTTTGTGTTACCCATCGGGCAAAATGAATGGGATTTGAGATTGGGGTAAAACGGGTCAATTTAATCTACATTCATGTTCACACCTGCCTCAAAAACTACCAAAGGAGCTTTCAGCAAACATTTTACATCGTACTAATATAATCTTACTTCCTAACATTGCATGTACGAGCCCATCCACGGACAACGTGAAAAGCCGACGATATGCCTCAGGTGATTTCCCATTACCTCTAACAAGAGATGAAAGAGTTATCTGTATTGGGCGAGTGTCACCCCGGGAGCTTCTGCTAATGGAAACTACGTGCTGAGATGGCAAAAACGTGATCTGAACATTTGGTTCCGCCCTATGGGGAGGCCATCAGAGATGATTGCAGAGATGATCTCAGAAACAGGTGTAGATCGCGCGCAGGCTACAATCTCGGTAGCATTTATGTCCTCAGTCGCATTGGGTGTGTTATTGAGAATGGTGGGGTGGGCGTATGTGTGGGAATGGGGTGGGAGTGGGGATGGGGAGTCTACCCCTTAGACGCTGTAGAAGGTGACGAAAGTGTTGGAGCTGGCGATGACTTCCGGCCTCAGTTGCGACTGGTCACGATTACGTGTAAATCCCTAATCTTATCGGGCTGGGACGCAAGGTGTAATGGACGCACCTCTTCACAAACTCAATGACGTCATTCGTGGGCCATGTTTGATGCCAGACCAATCGAAAGACAGATGAATGCAGGACCAACTGAGCACCTTACGAGAAGCGTTACTTATTAGTCCGTGGCAATATATCTTAATCCCGCCCGGTAATTTCCTGGTAGATTAAGTGGAAGTTGCATTAGAACCCTGAAAATAATATGCCTTCAAGCTGCATGGCCGCAATTTGGCACTGCGCGCGTGATGCCGCTCGGACGGCATGAACACACACTTGCTGAGTGGCAAGGCCTCATCACTGATGTGTTTATCAGCAGCTGTTCGATTGGCGCTTCACCCTGATGATGAAGGGAGCGGCTCATCACATGAACGCACAATTCATTTGATCGTTCTGGATTTAATGTTCAACTACAAAACAGCCGCGAGGAAGTTCCCACGACTAAAGACTGGCGTGGGCTTTGCCGCGCACGCGTGGGAACTGTCCGTGAGAAAATACTGGGCCACGCAAATGTTTGAAAACAAACGTTTTGTCATTTGAGTGCTGATTTGCGTCACGTCTTATCAAAATGATTAGCTGACCCCAAACAGATTGCTTAACCACAAATGTCTATCCAGCCGATGCAGGGTGGGGAGGGGAGGGCGGGGCACCTCCTCAGAGCATTCGGAGCGACCTCCTGAACCGTTCAGTGCACTGCAATGAAATTTGGACTGGCTGAATCTGAAACCTTTTTGTCTGAACCGCAAAAGTTAGTTCATGCCGTGTCAGTTCATTGCCGTGTGACCCAGTTCTCAAAAATGTGTGTGGCGAAAATGTGGAAAAGTAGAGCTTTCTGGCGCATTGTCCGATTTGTATGTAAAAGGTCTTCTTGGTTAGTGGCTTTAGACGAGCATGGTCAGTACCCGCAAAAGTTTACATCAGGTGAATCTGGGAATCGTATTCAATTTAGGTGACTTTTACGACATTAACCAAAATGACATATGACAAAGGTGATGCAAGGGTTCTTCAACGTCATGGTCAGATAAGGTCCAGTGTTTTAAGATTTCCAAATTCTCAGGAATGTCGTGAGTGTATGACACGTCACATTCTTATTAAGGCCATGCCCGAGATGTTTGCTGTGCATGTCCGCTAAATTATCCACGATCATTTGCACAAAAATAATACTGCAAATGATGTTTGTGATGAACGTCATGAGCGTTTCCTTTTACGAGTTCAGATGCACCAACAATGGGCGTACATGTATAGCTGCAGCCCACCTTTTGCCAAGAGGACAGCTTCCCCCATCTCAGAGGAGTGTGGGAAGTAGCGGAGCCGACCCGTCGTAACAGTTGAGTCGTTTTAGCTGTTATCGTATGCATTAGAGTTCTCTTGATCCCAGCACATGACAAATGTCGTGTTTAAAGGTGATATGCAGATTTAAGGAAGTTGCATGAATAAAGCCGCCAAAACTTTGGAAAAAGGACACTTAACCCCAATTGCCGCTCAGAAAATGATTGCTGACGCACGTAAGGGAGGCGCATTTCAATTTTCCATGATACGATTAATCTGAGAACTGCGGCATGCATCAGGCTCCTTCTAGATAATACTTCTTACACGCCACAAAATGTACCTGGCAAACGCCAATCAACTGATTTTCGTTGCCTTACACCTTTGCAATATTGTCCTATGGGGTTTCATTAACCTTTATCAAACGTGTGTGTGGGGTGGGGAGGGGGGGGGGGGGCACCACATACCTTAGCGATCAGAATTTCCTCCGTCGTCGATTGACGTCTGAAAGAAGAGTTGGGCGACGGATCACGCGAGCTGCCTGTACTGGATCCGTCCGGTGACCTGCGGGCGGGTCAGGCTCTCAGATCCACGCCGAACAAAACCACTCATTCCGCACGCAACAGGCCGAAAACGCAGTCCATGGCTATGGTTTTGAAGATACCCTGCGCACTCTAGGAGGGAGGTCAGGTATTGGATGCGTGGCGCTGGCGGCATGTCGCTATGGAATCACACGCCACCAGGTGCAGGTGCGCATGCGGCATCTGGCACAGGTAGCGTATACGTCACTTGCCACATCCGTCCGCCGTCCGTTCTATGTGGATAAGCGCGAGAGAGGTTACGCTTCTGGGCGCTAACTGACCGGCCTGGGTGCTAACTGACTGGCCTGGGCGCTGACTGACCGGCCTGGTCACTGACTGACCGGCCTGGGCGTCGACTGACCGGCCTGGGCGCTGACTGACTGGCCTGAGCGCCGACTGACCGGCCTGGTCGCTGACTGACCGGCCTGGGCACTGCCGGCCGGTAAGAGGCGATAGAAGCTGACTTCTGCCCATCGCTGGGAGGTGAGGGGTCTGACCTGTGCCCGGCGACGGGAGGTGAGAGGCACCTACCTGTGCAGACCGTGGTGGCTGCCGTGGCGACCGCGGCCGGTCGGCTCTTCGCTCGACTGACGGCGGCCCTTGAGGCGGCGCGCCAGGTTCATCTCCTCGGCCGCGCTGTCCGGCGACAGCGAGTCGCGCCGCCGCGACCGCAGCGGCGCCTCCAGCTCGAACGGGTCGGGCGACAGGAATGGCCGCGAGCCGCTGCGGCCGCGCGCCAGCGGCGAGCTCTCGTCGAAGGCGGCGGCCTGGCGCCGCAGCTGGCCGTGGCGCGGCGACGACTCGCGGCTTCGCGGCGCCGCCGCCTCCGGCGCCGCGATCAGCTCGCGGCTGCGCGTCAGCGGCGCCGGCTCCGGCGAGGCCAGCAACTCGCGGCTGCGGCTGAGCGCGCTCGGCTCTGGCGAGAGGCAGAGCTCGCGGCCACGCCCCAGCGGCGCCGGCTCCGGCGAGGCGCACAGGCCGCCGCTCGACGTCGGCTCGGGTGAGATGCAGGCGCGCGAGTCGCGCCGCGGCGCCAGCGGCGTGATCGTGGGCAGCGAGATGCGGTGCAGCATCGAGGCCGGCGCCGGCAGTGTTGGGCTCTGTCGGCCCTCCGACACGTTGGCCGCGCTTAACGTCACGCCGGAGTCGCGCGAGGCGGTCGACTCGCGTGATGACTCATCCTGGCTCAGCAGCGCCGCCTGGCGCGCCTCGATCAGCGCGCGCGGCTCGATGTACTTGCCATCGGGTGAGACGGCCGGCTTGGCGTCGCGCCCCGACGGCGTCGAGCTGACCGACTGGCGACGGGCGCGCCGCTCCTGGCGCTGTGACTGCACCTGAGTTTCGCGCCGCTTCCGCCAGAGTTCGGTCACGCTCTCACGGCCGGCCAGCAGACTGGAGATGTCGGCGCGGAGGTCAGAGCCGGCCTCGCCGCGCCGCTTGCTCTTGAGGTGGCCCTCAGCCAGCGACTGACGGCGGCCAGCGCGCGGCCGCGGCGCCTCGCGCGGTTCGCGCGAGTCCGAGTCGCGCCGGCCGAACGGCAGCGAGCGCGCCAGGTCCGAGAGCGTGTCACGCCGGCCGAGCTCGGCGCGCCGTCGCTCTCCTCCGCCGCGACCCCAGTCGCGGATGAGGTCGGTGAGCTGCGCGAGCGAGGAGCGTCGCCGACGCGGCCGGCCCGGCGGCGACGGCGGCTCAACGGCCGCCAGCTGCGCCGTCGAGTCACGCCGACGCGCCGGAATCGGCTGCGACGCGGCGTACTCGTCGGCGCCGCTGCCGCCTTTCCACACCAGACCCACTTGGTGGCTAAGGATCGGCAAGCTGCATACGAAGCACAGCGCTGGCATCGTGCTGCGGCAGAAAACAGAAGCTCTGGTTCCCATCCGCTGCGGTAGAGTAGCAACTGACTGTATAGTACTCACGAAGCCACCCAGTTCCATCGGGTGCAAAGACTCGTGAACTTCTGTGCGCGGGTTGTGAGCGGAAGGAGAAGGTGTGACCATATATCGAACGTTGTCAGGGATCTACGATGGCTTAGTTCTGATCAGCTGGTCAGATCTCATGCGTTGTGCCTGCTCAAAAAAGTCTTACTCACGGGTCAGCCACCATATATAGCCGCGATGTTCGCGCGCGCTGAGCACACTCATGAAACGCGACAAGCTAACCAGCTGAGGCGCCTCCGAGAGGTGAGGAACTCTGGCACTCGTCGATTTAGCTACAGAGCATCGGATTTGTTTAACTGCCTGCTGCCCGACTGGCGCAATGTTCAGAGTCTAGGCCGCTTCAAGCGCCAACTTATGGAGTTTCTACTGAATGAGGCGAATGTTGGCACATGAGTGGGTGCGTGTGTGAGTTCGATTGTGTGTGATGCCGCAATGTGAATGCAATAGTGTGATTCACCGAGATGATCCCCTGACCGATGTGTGATGTGTTAGGCTATTTTTCTAGGTTTCACATTGTCTCTTTTTTGGCCTTTTTATCAATGATGACGGGTAACTTTTAAAAAGCCACCGGATCTTGTGGAAAGTTGCGAAAAGTATGAACATGAAACCCGGAGGAGGCGAATAGAGCAGAAACCTGTTTTGTAACGACCAGTTAACTTACCGACACAACTTGAGTGATGGTTTCAAAACTACTTTCCCACGCGACTGTTTGCCCGCGGCGTTACGTGATCTCAGCGTGGCGAATGGTAAGTGATGAACAGAGCTTCAATAGGCAGCTCATCACCGCACTTAAACAGGGACAAACAGCAAGGCAGTTACCCAACCAGCTTCTACATGCTGGCAACGAACAGATCCAGATCCAGGAGAGCCATAATAAGCCTCCCTCAGGTGAAAGCGTATCATTTGTTGTCGGCCTGTCGGCCAAAGCCATTGCATAAGCTGCTTTGCTCCAGGAAATTGTTTGCATCCACCAAGCACAAATTCAGCTGCAGCAGGATCGCAACGCAGACCGGTACCCAGTCTGCATTGTCCACGGCCATGCTACGCCGTTCATAGCCTCTGTTCTCGGCGCTGGACCCTCGGCTGCTGGGAGTGCCCGATCCGGGCAGCGGACCGCTGTGGTCTGTCTCGGAATGGCCCGTGACCCCGCTCACTGGCCGGGTGGTCAAACAACGATGCAACAGAACGGGGCCACCTGTGTCAGGGACCCCTAGTGCGTGACCGGAAATTGGGATGTAACTTTTGCAGATTGTGTGTTACCGTTTACCCATGGTTTCTTTGAAGTTAAATGTATTGTGGTAAGGCATTTTCAGATCGCATCAACCGTTTTGCTCCAGCAAAGTGTTTGTGCCCGTCAAGTACAAGCACAATCATCCACCAACCGGTCAAATTATTTTTCAATGATGAATAGATAAAACTATTTTATCTAAATCGTCCCTTTGAAGGATGTTTTTCTTCATCGCCTGGAAATTGCCAGGCAACCCAGCTAGTAAATACAACAGTCCCAGCCAGAGGATATAAACCAACTCCGTTATTTCTATTGACTTCCGCGGTAAGTTCAGGCATGCCTGGAATGTCCGGCAGCAGCCGCCGCTGGCCGCCGAGCGGAGGCCAGGCACCGGGCCGCAGCTGGCCGCCGTGCGGGGCCCCAGCAGCGGCCCGCAGTTGGCAGCCGAGTGGGCCCGGCAGCAGTCCGCAGGTTGGCAGCCGCGCGGGCCCAGCAGCGGGCCGCAGTTGGCCGCCCGAGTGGGCCCAGCAGCGGCCGCAGTTGGCAAGCCGAGCGGGCCCAGCAGACGGCCGAGGCTGGGCCGCCGTGGCGGGCCCAGCAGCCGGCCGGCAGTATGGCATCCGAGCGGGCCCAGCAGCGGCCGCATCTGACCGCCGAGCGGGCCCAGCAGCGGCCGCAGCTAGCCGCCGAGTGGGCCCGGCAGCAGCCGCAGTTGGCAGCCGAGCGGGCCCAGCAGCGGCCGCAGTTGGCCGCCGAGTGGGCCCAGCAGCGGCCGCAGTTGGCAGCTGAGCGGGCCCGGCAGCAGCCGCAGTTGGCAACCACCACGAAGGCATCGATTGCCCATCTCCGGCGCGCCACGGCGCCACGGCTCGTCGCATCGGTCTTCTGGCCGGCTGGGCTCGGCTTGATCACGGCAATGGAGGTTCGGATGGGTACGAACCTGGCCTGGCCTGTACCTGCCGCTTGATAACTGCGGCCGCAAGGCACCGCATGACAACAGCCTCTTGTCGCCTGGAGCTGAATCAGAGCCACGGCTCAGTGGCTCCATCTCACCTCTTTCTTATTGCTGGCTGCCTCGGGCGTCAGCGTGGTTCATGTCAGCACAACTATCCTGTGCTGATGAACGGCTGTTCAGCGGCGCTGGCGATCATTCGCTCAGTCCCACCAGGCGCCGACAGTGGCCGCCCACCGACTTTCCGCGCCGTGAACAGAATCACGCCTCGATGCCACCGTACATGGGGTCACTTTGGGGTCACGTACGGGGCCGCCGGGGTCACTTTGGATACGGTGACGGGGATGCCAGTGGCTTTGTAGACGACGGAATTGGTGATGAACCCCATAGTCCGGTTGGCATCCTCATACCTCCTAAGGCAGGCCTTGCAATGTCGACTATCACGAACTTTTTCACAGAAATATACTCTATGTATCTAGGAGAAACAAATTAGCTTGGTTGCTGCTTCTGCAGCTTTGAGCATTTCTCAAAATCCAAGATGGCGGCAGAAACCATCTTGAATCTTGGTCAAGTTTCACAGTTTTTCCCCGATGGCTTGAACGGTCGTGTGACAGCATTGGAATGGGCTTTCCATGACAGTTAGTCCATTTGTGCAGTTATTTTTTTGTATGGGGCCACATTTAGGGTCAAACTGAGGATCAAAGGCCATAAATGATCGCGAATACCAAAAGTCGCTTCCATTGATCGATATATGTTGTTCGCCGTCTTCTCGTACTCACTGTAAGGGTACGACTTACAGAAGCAGCATGTGTTATACAGCATACTTATATAGGCATGTACCACATGTGTGTCGTGCGGACTATAGAAGGCACCTTTCACTTGGTTGGCAGGGGTGGTAAAATTTACTGACTTGGTTGATAAGATCGGCGACAGAAATTCCTATTTTCACGCGACGCTTGCTGCCAAAAATGCTCTTTATCGATCTAGTTCTATAGTCCCATAAGTCCTATAACCCGGCCGGTCGGCCGAAACGCTGTTTTTACTGGCCTGCTCCCTGTCCCAAACTAGACAGAAGAAAACACTGAAAAAGAGCTAAATATGGCGATTCATCTGACCGCAAGGGCATGTTTCAATAGTTCCGATGCAAATTAAAATGCGAGGTCGGCGGCGACCTCGCAGTCGAGTAGAAGTCAAAGAGCGTAAAACCGTGAATAATCATGCTCAAATCACGTTTCCTCACGCTACTACCAATTCCCCAAAAGCTGCTGAAGTCCCAGCAAAGTGAATTTGCTTTAAAGCGAGACTGCCTGCCGTCTAAGAAAGTGTAAGTCGAAAAACAGTCAGTCTTTCGCAGCTGAATACAAGTCAAGCAGTGTAAAACCGTGAATAAGCATGCTCAAATCACATACTACAACAGTTGAAGAACCTCTGGCGCTGGAGCGATAGCGCTTATGCTCAGTGGGGTAATTGACCTGCATCATGCTGACACTCAATATAATGTTCCTTGTAACAGCTTGCTGCTCCGGTGCACCGCCCCTCCACCAAGGAGCCTGCCCACATCCTCTCAGTCGAGTGTTCTCGGTCCGGCTGCAGGTAATCGCCCAGCTCCTAGCATGAGTTGTTGCAATTAAGTACCACCATGTCCTCTGTCGTCCAGATGAAGAAAATAGGTTAGTATTTAAGATCAAATAAAAGGTACAATTTAAAATGAAAAATCGAATATAAAATTAACTTAAGATCAAAACTTGAACTCTGAGCAATGCTCAAGGTTGCACAAATCGCGACCAATGTAACTCAGCTTTCCTTATTACATGAAACATATTTCCAATTCGTGAAAAACGTTTGCGGTAGTAAGCACCGCAGGGGCGACATTTCAGCAACTTGCCTACCAGTAATTTATGACTGAAAGCTTAAGCCGAAGACAATGCATGGAATGAAGATCCTGGAGAAGTCTAAGCTGGAGCCTTGTCCTCCCTCTTCAATTGTGTTTTGAGAGAGACGTCCCAGTCATCAACACACATCAAAACGAAAACGCGTCTGGGGAGCGCGCTTCTTGGATCCCACTGCACCGCGGGCTCGCCGTCTGGGTGCTCCTTGGACGCCCGCCGAGCGGCTCTCCGCCAGGCGACGCCAACAGCACATGCTCCGCCGGGGGCGCGGACAACGCGGCTGATCATAACGCGGTACAAGCGGCTCGGCGCCGCGGCGCGACCTGAGGCCGTCAGCCGGCCCGAACGAGCGGAAAGTGACGTCAGAGACCGGTCACGCGTGACGGCAGGCGTGGCGTCCGCCCTGCTGATTGGCCTGGAAAGCCGCGGACCCGGGCTCTGCTCAGCCATTGGGAGCTCAAGAAGCCGATGCGCTGAAGACGGTTGCCCTGACTCCGTCAGCAGTAGAGCTTAGCGACGGTATTTCGCTTCTCAAGCCCCACGGGAAATCGAGCTGGGCCAGCCAGACACTGTGAGGTTCTGGATGAGAGCCCGTGTTGCTGGCCATCTGACGTCTGCGGCTTGAGAGGCAGCCGGGAGCTAACTCGTCAGGGTGGTAGGCATGCGATGTTTATAGCCTACAGGAGAAAACGCGTCAGTTATTTTCGTTCTTGCTAGAAGGCCCAATGCGCACGGTAACGCAATAGCACCTTGCTATTCGAAGAAGGTTATTGTTCTACGTTCATGAGAATCGAAAAATAAATAACTCTTTCAAGAGCAATCGCTTCGGGCAGAC